GCACAGCTTTTTATGTAATAGAACATGAGCTACAGCTGAATGAAAATGCCTAAAGTAGATGCAAAATGCAGGACAAAGATGCGGTTCTGTTTTAAGGCACTGGGTAGAAGGGACAAGAACCCAGGGTTAGTTGGAGGGAACAAGGGCAACAGTTGAGAAGCAGCTTCAGGAGCTCTAAGCCACAGAAGCTGCTTAGGTCAGCTTCAGATAGAAGTCTGGAGGTCTCTGATCTCCCATTTAAGAGAAGTCTAAGCAGGAGATGCGAGTACTTTAGGACCACCTTCTTAATATGAAGTATCAAAAAAACCCCGACAAAACCCACCTGTATCTGGTATTTAAGCAAACTCCAGCATTAAGGAATCAAGGCTTTCATGGAGCCTCGAAGGAGCCAGACGTTCAACAAGTTAGATAAGCACAGAACCGGACATGGGCAAGTGGGCTGCGAAGTGTACAGTGAAAACACAAGCCGGGGGGAGATTAGAGGCAAAGATCAAGGACTGGAAAGCCTGCACGTGACGCCGAGTGAATTCGCCTTCAGCTAAACTGCCACAAATTAATTTTCCTAGCGAGGAAACAAAATACTACAAATATGGAAGAAATCTATAATTAATGATCAATAGATTAACATCCAAGTCAGTCATGTAAGTGAAGTTAGGGAAACTAAGAACTATTCATTCCAGTTATTTATTCTGTTTATTGAATTGAAAGAAAGGGAATACAAACATTTCCGTTAAGTGCTGTGCACCAACATGGAAAAAGTGTATTTTTTTTTTTTAAAAATCCTAATAAAAACAAATCAGAAGTTAATGTAGTTCCAATTGAACAATTTTTAAAGATATGTTTAAAATACTACACATTTATAAAATAAAAAAGTTAAAACGGTGTTCTGTAAATAATTAGTAAAACAAGTGAAAATAAATACGAGACCCAAAGTTCTTATGTTTTTAATGTAATATAGCAAAGAAATTTTTAACTACTTAATATAATCCGAGGAGAGTAACAAAAATCCAGAAAGTTTTAAGAATGCAATCCTTTGAAACATTTAATATCAGTCCATAGCAAATAGTCATTACATACCAAAAGCTCTAAGTGTTAACTAGTTCCACCACAACTCCATATAAGTCTTGACAATTTAGAAATCTTGAGATCAACAGTAAAGTTCTTTTCTTGATCTCTACAGCTTGGTTTGTAAGTACATACATGCTTTGAGGATCCATTTTGTCCCATATGTTTTCAAGGAGCCAATAACTTTTTCCATCTGTGCCTAAAAATGTTAAGATTCAAATCTAGCACATATCCCCTAACAATGAAAAATGTGTAAGAAAAAAGATGGGGCACAATGAATTTCAAATTTATAAAAATATACTGATATTAACCAAAAACCTTCCGGTCAAAGGACACTTCACATACACATGACTTAAAGTATGCAATAAAACATGACAAGTACCTAGAACATTTGGTTCTCTGTCTGTTCATGGAACACATGCACACGCACATTCATACCGGATGGGAGGAACACTCTCACAGACGTTTTACTGAACCCAGATTATCTGGATTAATAGACAGAAAACTTGTCTACAGTTTATTTCAACAACTAGAGGCAGCTACTGCAGCAGTAGTTCATCACTGCACACTTCAATTAAGTCCACCCTGTTTAAAAAAGTGTCAGAGTTAATGATCTTTTCTTCCTTCTTTCTGAACATTGTTAAAAGTAGCAGTTTTCAAAGTTAAGTATGGCAGCTGAAAATGGACTCAGGCCAATGTGGAAAAGACAGGAGGAGGTCAAAGAGAGGATTAGCCATTTATCGGATGGGTGTTCCTCTTAATAGTTGTCTCAAAAAAAAGTTAGATACAAGTGTATTTTGTAGCTAAAAACATGGACAAACTATTGAAAGTGCATTTTTTCTTCCTCCCCCTTAAGTTACAGTAGTTTGTTGGTCAGTCAATCCTGCTTTTTATGTTCATTCTTCTTTCTCTACATCCCTCCCCATTTGGGTCTACATCATCTCCCCTCAAACTACAGCTAACTGTATGAGTCCTGGCTTCCTGCTAAGGAAGCCTTCAAAACTGATTTTGGGTGGGAGCATCACTTAGCAGTGTAAAAGTATACACCTAGACACCAGCACCCAAGAACATAGTGAGTTTTGTTAAACATTACCTGTTTGAAGCCAAGTTGAGAAGTAACTGGCAAGATCGAGATAGATTTCTAGTTTGTGTCTTTGCTTTCATCATAAAAAGAAGTTAACTTTAGAGTTGGAGAAC